CCAGGAGTGAGGCTTTTTGGGAACTGCATCCCAAATGATTTATCATAGCTCTCCCAAGATTTACCAACCTCAGGACTGCTTAAGAACCCTATGGGGCAAATTGGTAAGCATCTCATGGGGATTTACAAGTTTAATTTTCTTGGAAAAACAAGGATGGTTTGCTTATTATCTTCCAATTTAATTGTTGGCTCTTCCTAGCTCTGTGCTTCCCTTGCATCTGCTGTTCCTGCCCATGGGAAGGGTCAGTATGTGGCTCCTGTCTGCAGCCCAAGGTGCTGAGTGCTGGGGCTGATAAACTGTCAGCACTGCAGAATGTTCTGCACTGCCTGAGATTTTGAAAGGCTGATATTTGTTCCAAATGCAAATTTGTACAAAACAGGCCTTATTCTCCTGAGCATAACTCTCCATATCTCCTCCCAGGCACATGCTCAGATGGTGCTTGGGGAGGGGGGGGATGTTTTGTGTGGAGCATGCTAATTATGAAACAGATTTCATCAGCCATCTTTGCAAATTGGTCTTAAAATTACCAGAACCCCAAAGTAGTATTAAAACTGCCTTGTAACTGCAATAATGAATGAGCTTCAGTATAGCAGGAAAGTGTGTAACGTTTGAGACACGTGGAGTGCTTGGGACTTTGTGGAATCTGGTGCTAATAGTGGGGTTTTTTCCTCCATGGCACAGCTCAAAAATAAAGCTGATGGACAGAGGCTTGGTGGTGCTTCTATGTAAGAGCCAGGAGACAATTTAAAGGGCCTCAGCTATTTCAATCACAATCTCTTTAGGTCTTTGCTAAGAAAAGCAGTCCTACAGTTCATGGATAGTCCTGACACTCATGCAAAAATATGCTCTGCATATTTATCTTTGTCTTTTAAAATATTAATTCTTTTTAAATGCTCACGAGCTGCCATGGAGGAGCTGTTCTAATGTTTTGGTGTAGAGTCAAAGTCTTCCTTTAGGCTGGAAACAGGCATAGACTGGTGCTCAGCTGTGCTATAGGCATGGAGGAATGTTGCTTTTGTCCTGATTACCTTCCCTATAAATAACCCCCAGTTATTTATTTAGTACAAAATGCTGCCCTATTTTTACAGCCAAAGATAAATTGCATTTCCAGAAGTTCTCCCTGGTGTTTCTCCCAGTGCCTCCACACTGCAGTTCTGAGTGCTGTGGGGTAGATTTGAAGGGAGGACAAGGAGTGCCTGGGAACGAGGGGACACAGCTCAGTCCAAACCCTCGAGCACAGCTCTGACCAGTGCAGATGGACCAAGAGCTGCAGGTGGAGGTGCACTGCTCCATGGTGTGCTGTGAGCTGGAGAGCCAATCAACCTCCTTTTACTTCATTTAGAGGTATTTTTTAGTCAGTGTCTGCCTGGGTCTCTCTCTGGCTCACAGCCTTTCCCTTTCCTGGACAGCAGGTACCACAGGGACACCTGAGCTATTTCCAGGCTCTGTCAGTGGCTAGAACAGGGTGAGCATGTGTTTCCTTGCCTTTGGTGCTGAAAGAGGCCAAGTGTGCATTGTCCTGAAGATTACTGCCTGACCCAGAAAGGGCAGCAAAGTGCTTGAGAGAGTAGAGTTTCTATCAAAGCTTATACATAAACATCAGAACTTACCTCTTTGGCAGGAGGCTTTTTGCTGGGAGAGATGAGCTCTCCTTGGCTTTCCCAGTTAACTTATTTGAGACCAACTCCTGCTGGTTTCATCACAGGAAGGAGATGTCAGCAGTAATCCATGGCCTTTCTGAACCTCTATTTAAAGAGCAGAGGTTTCCAAAGCTGCTTGCTCAGCCTCCCTGCCCATCCTCTGTGCTGCCTGCTCTGAACCTGGAATCAGGGATGAGCCAGGACAATCCCACAGGCTTCCGGCCTGGCTGTTGTGGCTCTCCCACCTCCAGTTTCTGTGGGATGTCCAAACCAGGCCATGTATGGTTTGAATTTAGGTCTATTTTAGTATCAAAATGCCCATTTAGAGCTGTAATTTACTGCTGTCTCCCTAGAACAGTGGATGATGTTTGCTACCAACTACTTCCTCTCCATCAGAATAAAATGTTCTTTGAGTAGGGGTAGGGTGGAGTATTTTGGGGTGTTTTGGTGATGCTGGTTTAAGGGTTTTTTTTTCATTCCAATATCTTTTGCAAGGACCCTGAAAAGTCTCCTGTTCATTTTCTTGGGTTTTTGCTTTGAGGGGGGTGTTCGTCCCTTGAATTCCAGGCCAAATTTACTAAGCTTTGGCACTTTATAGTGTTTCAACCATCAATAACTTCTTCAGCTAAGCACCCTGGAAATTGTACAGCTACTTGCAAAACTATGTGTCTGCATAACACAGCTGCACATGCAAAATCCTGTCTAGAATGTGTGTGTGTATTCAAGTGTATAAATACATACATGCACACATGCATGTGGTACAGGTATCATACAAATTTCTTTCTCCTGTTGGCCCCAATTCACTGCCACTCCCTGGAAATTCTTAGGTTTAATAAATGTGCTGTTTCCTTTGTCCTTTTGCTAAGAAACTGAGTATAATACAGACCAGGCAGGCTTTCTTCTCCAGATTTCATAACATAAGCTTTACAGAAAGAAAAATATCTTAGGTTTAAAATTCCCTGTTTCACAGATATGCACAACTCTGCCCTCTTGAATTAGCTAGAATTTCACTTTATCTTCTCAGATTTTCTTTCCCAAGCAGCCCTTGCAGAATGCTTCATCATTACCCCTGGGTGAACTGGGGCCAGGTGGGAAGAAGAGCAGTAATTCACCTTCTTTTGGTTTCTTCTGTATAATCTATCCCTTACCTGCCTCTTTGGGGAGTGGGAATTAATTGTGGGACTCTCCTACTGTTCACAGCCTGACCTTCAGCACATTTCTGTGTCCCTAATAAAGTCTAGAGCTGATTTTCCTCTTGGGATTGCTGTGAGCCTTCGAGTCATGTTCTGAGCTCCTGGATGCCAAAGGAGGACAGAGCCTGACATCCACTGCTGGGTGGCTGCTGTGGATCTGAACATCTTTTGCTCTTTTATTGCACAACAGGAGTTTAACAGGGAGCCTGTTTAATATGTGGCATCAAAGTGCATTAGCAGTGTGCATTTGCAGCTTTGTCAAACCAGGAATGAAAGAACTGGCAGGTCATTCTGAAAGCACATGGTAAAACCCTAAGGAAAAGCATTTAATCTAATTTTACCCATCATTCAGGATTGTCTGTGCTTGGAACGAGATGATCATTCTAAACAGGCATCAGTTCTCTTCTGCTGTGAATTTTCTCAATGCTCTTTCTTTTCTTTCTGTTTCTTTTATGGCTGATTCTTTCTACTGCAGACAGGGCAACTCCCCTTCCCTAAGAGGAATTGTTAAAGCACTGCAATGTGCTTCAGATCCTGTGCCCTGGGCGTGTTCTCCCTACCTCAGTCAGCTCAGGTAAATGGATCTCTGTGTAGGGATAGGCCAGGCCTGAAATGTCACATTTAATTAATAAATGGCTTCAGGACAGGATTGCAAGGATGAGTTAAAGCCTGGCAATGCATGAGTACAGAGAGGCTGAAGGCAGCCCAGCAGAGAGAAGGTGCACATATAGAAGGGATCATGGTCTACAAACAGCTAAACAAGAAACATTCCTGGCAGGACACAGCTCTTGGGAGCCACAGGAAAAGGCACAGCACAATTCAGTGCTTAGAGGCAGAAACAAAATTCACTTGGATTTAGAGACCTATTGAATTCATCATTACTTACAGCCTTTAAATCAAGACAGGATCAATTTATAAACAGGGATGTGTGGACTTGATGCAGATGTCCTTAGCCAGCTTCTTTCACAATTTATGCAGGAGACAGCGACTTTTTTCTACTCTTAAAGGTGTGTTATAAAATGAAGGTCATTCCACAGGGCATGGTGTTACTGCTTTTTTGTTTCTTTTTTAATATTTCATCCCCTTCCACAGCTAGGGCTCTGTTTTCTATGAGCTCTGGTCCCTTCATGGGGAAGTAATTCGTGTTTTCCACTGCTCCTGTGCACTCTGACTGATTCTGCATGACCTGGCTAAGGGTGTCATGTCCTATTAGAGGAGTGGGGACCAAAATACAGTATCCTGGCTGTGGAAAATTTTCCTAACTTGACTTTGTCACTTTTCACAAGTGGAATCACAAATTTTGAGAACAATCTAAAGTGGCTAGAGGTGGAGTGGGAGGGGAGGATGTGTGACCTTTCACACTGATGGTTTGGGAGACAAAATGATACCTTTATTATGGAAAAAACCACAATATCCAGGTTACAGAACAGTCCTTGTTTGGAAGGCTGATGGTGCTGAGCACTTCACTCTCTTCATCAGCCAAGCAAAACACAGGGTTAGGAAGAACAGCAAAGTGTCTCATGGGCAAAGCTGATAGTCAAAGTGCTGCTGAGAGGAGAACAGACTGGACAGAGCTTCCACTCCACAGCACCTGCCATCAGGAGAACTCAGGAGCCAGGAAGGGTATCTGAGCTCCCCAACTGCCTTGAGCCACCTCTGGCTTCGTCTGCCACTGACATCTGGGGCAGCTGATTTACTCTGCCTATAAACTGAGCAATCCAAGACAGGTGGACAGGTTGGTACTTCAGTGTCCTTATCTGTTTTTGTTTCTTTCCCCTCCTTTGCAGTACGTGGTCATTCCAACACGCCGTGCAACCGCAGTGGCCTTGCAGAGTTTCACTTCACACCTCCTGGGAGATGCTGGCAGTCCTTATCTGATTGGATTTGTAAGTGCTCACAGCAGGCTCTGGCAGCACTGCCTGCCCTGTTTGCCTTTGTTTACTAACTGCTCATCTGAAATGCCAGGTTAGACCCTGCTGGGGCAGGCAGGGCTGTGTTTGTCAGCAGAATGGGAAGTGATGTGGTGCAGTGCAACTTTTTTACAGGCTACAGTTCAAACCTGGGAGGACCACTTGGGTGTGAGAAATCTTTTTAGCCTAGGGCATTTGTAAAGCTTATAAAGAGCTCTGTAAAGAGAGGGTGTTGCTTCTGTGGTGTGGACATGAGTCTGCTAGAAATTAGGTTGGAGCAGAGTCGTGTGTGTGTTTAACTGTTCATCCGACCTCGAGAACCAACTACCTGTTTATGGGCAGTAACATGCAGCTGTCCTGACCTGCTGGTATGTTGTACCTGGTTTGTATGGTAATAAATCATAGAGTCATGGAATATACCGTGGAAAGGAGCCACAATGTTCATCAAATTACAACTCCTGCCCTGCACAGGACACC